ATTAGTGCAAGACGTGCTTCAATATTGTCTGATGCGTAATACTGATCGCTTCGTTTTGCGCTGAGCCGCTTGACAGCTGATTAAAAGTTAGCTTGTGGCAAAACCGTAAATTAATGCTAAAGATATATCGTGTTCAATTTTTGTGTTTTCAACTCTCATCCATAATCTTTGAATGCATTCAGTTGAAGAATATGCCCCTTAAATTTTTGGCAAATACTGAAATGACAAAATACTAGTGTTCCGTTGGTTAGCTTAGGTTGAGAATGTATGCTAAGTTACTTAGGTGATTGGTAAGATTCGTTAAAATATATAACCGATGCAGGTTTATTGCACCTGCTGATCATAATTTCAGCACTACCATTCTGCTGAACACCTCTGGAGATGGCATAGCTAAACATACCGAATGCTGAGGGATGTTTAGTGCCGCAATGTCGGCATCCGAAAATACCATGCAGGTTTCAACGATATCCACGACGTCGGCGACATCGACTCCCGTTTGTTCGACACTTGCCGTGTCCAGTACCATTACTTCGTCGCAGACCGCCGTCTCCAGTGAACAAATCTGTCAGTGGATCTCTGAGCTAAGTTCGACCAGCACTAGGGAGACTGCTCTTTTGGAACTTAGGTATCAACTTTGTATTGCACTTGCCTTCTGCTTCATGCTATATACCGAAGAGAAATTTGTTGTTTAAATTGATCGGAGATCTAGATTTACATCTCCTCAGCCCGAAGGTCATAACCGACTTCGCAGATCTGATGCAGATAATAGCTTGTTGCCTGGCGGTTCTCGATGTTCATCAGCTTTGCTGACTTGATGTGAAGTTTGAAGCTTATTGCTTGAATGCGTCGCAGAGTAATTCCATTTTTCAACATATACGAAAATACATTATTATCACAGTTAAAGTTTATACAAGCAAAATAAATTGCACAGTCGTTTTACGTTGAGCATGACTAACATGCTGTCTAACTGACTTGCAATCGTAGAGGAGCTGCGCTGAGGCTGGGATAACAGATTTCCGGTAGAGTTCGGTTCTGGCGTAGATATTGACTAACAGGATCTAGCTGATATGCTACTGCGCAAGGCTGTCGTGCAGAGGGAGGACATTGTTACTAACAATGTTGTTTCCCACGCGAATACTGTGATCCATTGCTGATTCGGCAGCGTGAGATGGCAGATTATTTTTAGGCAGACCACTGAGCCTTAATACTAGCTTAGGTGATTTTGTTGAGGCTTTAAAGTCACAAACCAGTAACTCAAGATGGATAATGGCTGACTCATAGGTGAAACTGGTAAGAATGCAAGAATGCAAAAAAAGGTTTTCAGTTGCTTCCCTGGGTGCATGCAAGGTTCTCAGCGTTTTCGCGTAAAACGATGCCGTGCAACACCGGATTGTTAATTCCTGAATGTGACGAAACAGTAAGGTAACTCCCAGATGCTTGATGTATTGTACTTGCATCAAACGTTTGTAGCAAATTCATATTACGTGATGAAATGTTCAGGAGTGAAGGATTTTTGATATTGTGTATCATGTAGGTTGCTTCATTGTTTTTATTGATGTTTATATGCAGTTCATTAGGAGAAAAATAGTTGGAAAAATTGTGTCTTTTGGTAGTTATCCCAATCTTCAGGCGATCGCAAAATGCCTACGTCTATAGTATCGTCAGTGTACTTAATGTATTTGTGAGAAGCATTGATGTTACAATCATTTGTAAAAAGATTAAACAACAGGGATGAAAGAACAGAACCTTGAACAACAATTAGATTGTTTGCCATGATGAGAGACTTTTATCTATAGATTTTGACGAACTGGCGTCTATGGGAAGAATAACTTGTAATCCATTGAACGACAGAAGGGTCGATAGCAAATGCCATCAGTTTAATCAACGGGTTGTCACGAAGGATTGTATTGAGTACAGGCGGCAGGTCAAGAAATGTTTACCTAATAACGCGGCCATTTTTGTCAAGTTCGTTCCTAATTTCATTTATTAGGGAAGCAGTGGTGTCTTCGGTCCATAGTATTTTCCTGTAAGCCAATTGCCATGGATTAGGTGCATCCGCGACCTTTTGTTTTATAAGTGGCTGAACGAGGTATTCAAGATATTTGAGCATAACAGAGATAAGCGCGATTGGTCGAAATGTATTAGATTCCTTTGGTCGATGATGACCTTTTTGGCACTGGGGTAATCGATGCGAGGTGCCATTTGTGCGGAATTAGTGTGTAATGAAGACAGTAGTTGAAAATATTGTTCTTCGTGTTGCATAGTTCAACTGAACAAAGTTTTCCCACGTCAGGATCTGAAGCCATGTTAGAATGGAGATGTGCAATTGTACCTCTGTACAATTCATCATTAGTCTATTGTACAGGTTTCCTTTCTCCACCAGTCTCTGAAACAGAGAAGTATCTGGGATTGGACTTTCATTCTCGAATTGCAAAAAAATCGTGGATGTGATCATTTGGATCTATCTCGAAGTTTCTCGAAATGAATTCTGCTTTCGCTGTGTTCCATAGCGATTTAATGTTTCTTCACAGATTCTTTGGATCCGACGTCGTTTAAACAGAAGATCTCATTCTGGACTGCAATGGAAATGGCTCGGAACAACTGGCGTTCGCCTCATCTGCATACTTCTAACTTTTGGCGGCAGAGGAGTTGCGGAGGGGGGGGGTATGCGTCGCTGAGTGATTAACACCTTCGAAATGGGCAGAAAGTATCAGAACTGTCAGTTAACGCAGTAGTGATCGCCTTATGTTGAGCAACATCAACTCCTTCATTCTTTGATAACTTAGGTTAATTTTAAGATGAGCAAAATTGTTTAAGCTTCTCCACGTTGGCGGGGCGATTATCTCGGCAAAGCATGTAACACTTGCGTTGCTTTTGCGACGTACGTTTAAGCCAAGCATTGGTGTAGTACGAACAGTACAGTGGTCCGACATTCCGAAAGGAGCGGCCCCGCGAGTGTTATACATTTCGACAAAAATGGAAATTAAATGTTTCCGGGGAACGTACGAAGACTCCCAGTCGAGAACCGCATCTCCACATGTGTTGAAGTACTCCAGGTTGATCAGGCAAAGTGGTAGAAGGGTTTCAAGACGGTGTCGATTGAGATGTCCGCTCAAAATCATTATGTTCTTCAGAACAGCGGGTGATAAGAAAGCTGTTAGCGCAAGTCCGCAAACTCTTATAACCGTGGGCGCCGCAGTCGGGAGTAAGGTAAACATTCCCTAACATTACACGCTATAACAGGGAAGAAGCTTTTGCCAGCAGTGAAGAATCATACAGTCGTCATTGTTGTCAGACGGAATGTGAATTTCGGTGTCGGTCGTATCCATCGTTCCTATCGAAAGTATGTTAGGTCTCCACCGCTACATCTTTTCTTCGCAGAAAGTGGGTCCACCAGAATAGTTCAAAGTCACCAAACGACAGGACAGAGTCCTGCATGTATTTGCATAAGATGTGCCTTGCTCGACAATGCAGAAGCACTTTATTGGAGCGGACCTGCTTGAGGAGAGAAGACCTTTGCAATGTCACAGGTGAACACTGTCTAAGATTAATCCGAAATTCCATTTTAACAGTCAAACATTACTGGTCTAGTTTACTCTTTTACGTCAGATGACGATGACAGAGCAACAAAAGATGACATCTTGTCAGCTATATTAATTGCACGTGTCCTCGTACAGAAAAATGTTCTAAGAAGATGGTAGTGGTTTATTTATACATGACGCAGTATAGTTATTTTTGGCCCTTGGCTTCTAAAGCCTTCACTTCTGCAAATGACCTCAGCAGCGTTCAGACTTCACATCATTTTTACTCTGAAGAAGGTCGGTCGGAGATTGGCCTTAAAGTTGATATCAGTATCTCACTCGGTGGTCCTTGCCGCAGTATCTTTGCTGATCTAATTCGGAGGCATCATAAATTTGCCTTCTATGTCAATTCAGGCTTTGATATTTTCAGTTCACAACACTGGAAATCAGCATTTAAATAAACCGTTCTTTCAAGTTTCTTCTGCATGGCAGCCGTCGCCCAAGCAGAAGTCCGTCTATGAAAGTTATTCTCCGTTACCGTTTTTAATCTTTGTGATATACGCTGTGGTCAGAGCCATAGTGATTACTATCAACCCATTTCGGTCAGTGGTATAAGAATTTTTGTCAGACCTATCCAGTTTACACCTTGCGCTGATTATCACACTGGACAAACGGCTGTCACGTGGGTGAAGCCGAGTGACGGCTGTTACAGGGGCTCGCGACGTCGCGACCGTCATGACCGCATCAAGCGTCATGACCGTATCCAATTTTGTATGAACCAGCAGAACATAATGTTGCCCCAGTTGTTCGCCACTTAACAGCTAATCCGTTTCTTGACTGGTTGTACCGAAGCCACGTGGTTGAATTGCCTACTCAAGAGAATTACAGGTTAATGTAAATTCTCTTCATTTCCGTGATTCGAATCTGGCATCCATGGAGTTCGAATTCAGGCTCTTGCCAGTTTGCTGCTGCAACTAAAATATCTCCCCATTTGTATGGAATCTGAATCTGTAATGCTAAAGATTTTATTTTGCCAGTGGAGTATTTTCTTGTGCATTTCTTGTATCTTTTTCGGATACATTCAGACACCTTTGTTTTTAAAGTGTGAAGCCGATTTTTTTTGTCTTTAACTTCGGTAGTTCAGTGGTTGTTACTGTTACTAGTCCTAGTTTCATAAGATGCGTAATTTTTTATTTAGAGCTAGACAGCATATTTCCGGTTATTCGTTGCTTGATCGCTGCTAGCTTAATCACAGAGCGCGACCTCAACAATGTGACCCTTTCACAAGAAGTCTTCCTATTGAATGATCATTTATAGTGTAGAAAATATAGAGTGGCTGATGATTACTGGCGAAACAATGTACTTCGGCATCAAAATAAATTCTTATTAATTTGAAGCTGCATGTTACCTGTATCCCTTGAATTGGAAGAGCAGCTTTCTGTCAAAGTACATGTTTAAGCCCACTAATGGTGTATCGGTATGAATTTTGGAAGTACACCAGGGTTGCTAATTCGGGACAGCGTCGGACTCGGAACCGAGCCGTTACGGGTTCGAACACCGGTCTGGGTCGTTGACCTTTCTTCCTTCTGAGGTATATAAATGTGTGTCACTTTTTCTATGTTAAAGAAACAGGAGAATACACGTTATGTTTGCCACATACCTACTATCGATTCTGTCTTTAAAAATATAAGCCACTTCGGGCTGATGACATGGAAGTGGATTTCAGCTCCTTACCTTTAACTTTAAAAGAGTCGGGAAAAAAGTGAATTGAGAATAGTCATAAAAAACGTCGCAGAAAATGGCCCCTTCTTGAAAGTTTGAAGAAAAGTTATGTTTCCACGGTTACCAACTTTCCTTTTCTTCGATTCATTAAAATTCTGAGGCATTTAAGGTAGTTCCTATCTTTACTGTTTGTTGTTGCTTGTTTGTTTTGTTTTTATTTTTGTGTTAAGTCTAAAAATTTAGCAAAAAGCGTGAAGTGGTTTTTGACCTTGCCGTCATGTTGTGGAACTCGTTCGGAACGGTAACGGCGCTCTTGCAGGAGATCGTCAGCATTTATCCGGCGATTAATCCTCCAACATTGACAGTACGTGGCACTGGTTGCCATATTTAGCATTAAAGTTTTATCAGCGTTTCAGGCACATCAGTCGAATCGAGTTTGCAACGCTTTGGCTCTGATGCAGTGCGTCGCGTCGAACAGCGAAACCAGGGGACCATTTCTACAAGGTTAGATGAGAATCCAGCCTTTTGCTTATTGATCTTGTTGTTCGCCTTACATTGCTGTGCTATGCTATCGGTTGGACTCGCGGCTTAGTCTTCTTTCTTTGTTCGAAATGATCAGATTTACTCCAGGAGGTTGATGTTGTTCAGTGTGGAGAAGAAGCGTAGGAAGAGGTAGTCAGAGAGTACGGTGGAAAATCAGAAAGACGGTATGGAAAGAAGCACATGAAAAAACAACTGAAAGGGGAAAATAAGAGGAAGAAAATGAATTAGAATAAGCTATAATGGAAGTGGGGATGAAGAGACATAAAGAAAGTAACAAAGAAATTTTTGGAAAGAATATTGGGTATTTCGTTCATGCATTGGTTTCATGAGGAATACTGATCAGAACGGTTTATTTATACACACTGCAAATAATATGGTTGTTCGGATGACTGATCAATACCGAAGTTTCGATCCTTGTCTTACGGGTTTCTTCAAAGTTAAGAGGTTAGTCGACTGACTTTGGAAATCCTTATTTTCCAGAGGGCTTCTGGCTCCACACGAACCAGCCCTTGCGAGCGACAAAAGCAGTTTGGAAATCGGCCAATCAGCCTTTTTACCTTGAAGAAGGCCCGTGAAAGGCAGGCCAAACGGCGGTAGTTGGCATCATTATATTGACCATATTGTTTGCGCTATGTATAAATGGACCGTGTTTTATGATCTTTTCAACATGAAATAGGAATAAATACGAGAAGGTGACAAAAACGAAGAGAAAGAGAGATTGAAGAAAAAGTCAACAGAAACCGCAAGAAGAATAACAAAAACAGCCAAATTAATAGAAATACAAGAAGGAAGATGAAATAGAAAAAGAGAAGTACTTAAGAAAGAATTAAAAGTTCAAGAAGTTAAAGAGAAGACGAAGTTCACAAAGGAATAAGCGAATAACATAAGGAAACGCAAGAATGCGAAACGAGAAGGGGGAAAGAGGAAGTACAAAGTAAGGGAGGAGGAAAAGATAAGAAAAGGAGTAAGCACAAGAAGAAGAGAAGAAAACGATAAACAAGAAGCAGAATGAGCAGAATTTGAATTAAAAGAACAAAAAACAGGAAAATGAATGAGAAGAACAGAAGAAACACAATGTGGGTAAGATAAAAACGAACGGAGACGAAGATGAAGAGGAAAAAAAGGAGAGAATCGATTACCACAATGAAGTGAAATGACGTATAAAAAAACAACAGTAAGAAAAAGACGTGACGTACAGAGCCAAAGAGGGAATTCCAGTAGCAGGAAATGATGTACAGGTGGGAGAGGAAGAAGATATGCAAGAAGAAACGAAGGACAATACTGAAAGAAGGTGAAAAAGGAAAGGCATTGAAACGAAAGAGGATGGATGCAGAAAGAGTATGTAGCTCTAGTAGAGCAGAAAAGCAACACCAGAGGTAAAATTACGAAAATGCTAACGAAAAAGATTAAGAACATAAAGGAATGTAATGTAAGAGGAAGAGATGCTGAAAAGGTAAAGATAAAAAAATAAGAATCAGCGCATAGCAATTTTTAGGAATATGAAAATGAAGAAGAAGGCCCAAAAGGCAGTATAACGCCTTAGAAGATCAAAAAAGACAGAAATATGACAAAATAATGAAGAAAATTGAGGGGAACAAGACGAACGAAAAACTAGATGAAGCATAATAAGTGGTGGAGAAAGAAGTAGCCAAAAAAGGAAAAAGATAGACTCCAAAATGTGGAATTGAAAAGAGTGGATGGATGAACGCAAGTGAACCATCATGCCAACATGAAGAAAAAATAAAATTGAATGAAGTCCTGAAATGAAACTTACAAGCAAGAAATATAAAAAGAACCAAATGTAGAAGAAGAGGGGTAGAAAAAGAATACGTTTGAGAAGAAGAAAATGGAAGGAAACGAGAAAGGTAAGAATAAGGCTGGGAAAGTGCGCGCAAAAGAGGACGTAATAAAAAAGGAAAAACTTTGTAGAAGTAGAGAATAAGGAAAACTAATTCTTAGGTGTTTTTGAAAAGTAAGATCGGTGGACAGATCTATGGAAAACATCAAAAATTAAAAGTATAAGAAGAGAAGGAATGATTTACTTTTGCAACCACATTCTTGCCCCCATGTTGGAAGTACTCTATCCTTGCATGGTGCATCACAAAGCAAATTGCTACCAATCGAGAGGCTCACTGGCAGATGATCGGTCTGCAGTAGTCCTGAGGTAGCAGAATGACCGTGGCGCCGAGCATATC